GGGGGGGCGGGGAGGAAGCATTCAAGAATGAGAGGAATGCTGTATGTATGTTTCATCGGCTGTACTGCATCCTGGCTGACTCATCCCTCCCTTGTGACCCTTCTGTGAAGGGACGTCCAGTGGTCTACAGATGGGCTGTAAGTCTCCACTCCGGCCCTCCTTGTTTGAAGTAAGCCGTCTTACCCCTCCAAATACAGACTCTTCTTCCCATGCCACTCGGGGATCTAAAACTCAAGTCTCTCAGACACAGTTGGAATGAATAGGTACATACTGTATTATGTGCAATAATATAAATTGGTGCGATCTCGTGCAAGGATAATTTAGAAAGAGCATCGCAATAAAAACTGCATAGTCATGACCACTTTTTGGGAGAAGGGGCTCAGGGAGGAGGGGAGGTGACCTACCGAACATCCTCCGTTGGCTGTAGTCAGGACTGGGCTCTCAGCAGGCCGACTCCAGGTCTGTGCTCCCACCTCACTTCCCAGAACAACTTCCTGAAGGGTGAGACTGCTGATTTGCACGGGCAAAGGCCACAAGGGGCACGGAGCTCCGTGTGTGGTCGAGGGTGCTGTGGCTTTCCTGGGAGTGTCCGATAAAGCTCGCTGCTCCTGGGCTGCTCAGGTCAGGCTTTCTAGCACCATTGTGTTATGGTGCCAGAAACCTATAGGGGGCACTTCTAGCCTGTCTTAACGGGTCACCATGGGTCAGAATGGACTTGATGCCTGTAAGTCACCCACCCCCACCCCCACCCACCGGTTTTACCTCTGAATCTTGGCTAATTTCAGAGCAAGTTTGTGTCTGGGATGAAAACCTTCCCACACAAGCTGCAGGGGAAGAAACCTCTGAGCTCAGAACCCAGTGGGTTGCTGGAGAGAGCCAACGATGGGGGATGGGACTCGGAGAGGAAGGTAGAGTCCTTCTGGGCGGCAGATGTCAAGGCTGAAAGTAGGCACGGTCTCTGTCTGTTGGGGGAAACCTTGGTGAGTCTCTCTCATCTTGCAAAGGGGAAAATAGAGCCACCATAAAAATAAAGCACTCGATCCTTTGAAAGCAAATCCCCTGCAATTTGGCTACACACCCCGTGACGGTTACTTTCTGTAAGGGAAATCGTGTCTGGAAGAACTGACATTGGCATCTGTTCTGTGAAGGCTCCCTACTGACTCACAATGACTTCTTGAATCCGCTTTCTAGAGTCCTGCTTTCTGCCCATGGCTCTGCTTGTTGCTAAGGGCTGGCCTTACCCTGACAGATGGCGCCAGGGTCTCACTTTCCAGAGGGCTGCGTGCTCAAACAGGCTTCTCCTGCAAGGGAAGGGCTAGCACCGGTGTGCACCTGGAGTTGGCCATTCTTTTCTACGTAAGACGAATGGGTCGTTAAGGGACTCAAACTTTGAATGTGGCATTGACAATGACGGCAGCCTACTCGGAACCCTAAAGGAAATCTTTGTAGAAGAACATAAAAAAACAAAACAAAACCCACTACTCGCCACGCGCATCCCTTCCTTAACTAGATGATGCCTTAGTTATCTAGTACTGTTAGACACATCTCCAGGGCCTTCAACAAGCAGAACTTGAAACTTCTCAGTCTAGAGGGCTAGAAGTTGGCCTGCAGGGTGCCAGATCTAGGAGAAGCTGCTCTGTGTGTTGGGAAAGTCCTTGGTCTTTTTCTGAGCTCCTGCTCCTGGGTGATCTTCATGTAGTTTGGCATTTCATATCTCTTCTCTGCTCACTCATGTAATCTTTTTTCGATCTCCAAACAAACGGACTTCACTTACATCCTACATTAATTTTGCCTTACTCACGAATATAACAAAGATGATCCATTCACAAATGGTCAGATTATAACCTTCGGTTTCTAACTCATAGCCACCCACAGAGAAAAAAACACACCCCTGTCCTGAGCCATTCTCACAGTCACAGTTCTGAGCCCACAGTTGTAGCCACTGGGTCCACTCATGCCGTTGAAGCCTTCCTCTTTTCCCCACGACCCTCTATGTCACCAAGCAGGATGTCCCTCTCCAGAGACTGGTCTCTCCTGATAACATGTCCAAAAGATATGAGACAAAGTCTCACTATCCTACTTTCTAAGGTACATTCTGGCTACTTCCTCTGAGACACATTTGTTCAGGCATGGAGGTTGGGGTTAACAAGAGATTGAGGGAGCTGACTCAATCCGTAACGGAAAAGATCATGTAACTTCAGTGGATTTCAGTCCTGGCTGCACAGTAGAGCAACTGGGAGGGTTTTAAGACACACTGGTGCTTGAAAGAGGAAAGAAAATGGTATACTGATGCTTGGGCTTCACTGAAGACAAATGACAGGATTTCTGGGGCTGGGCTGGCCACTGGCATTTAAAAAGCTCCCTCTTGGACTCAACTTGAAGTTGTGAACCAGTGGGCTACACAAGGACCCAGCCAAATCCGTGGCAGCCTCTGTTCTACACCCTTGAACCTATAGCCGACTGGAGTGATGGAGCATAAAACTCGTTCCGACACTCCTTACACAGCCCCCTGCTCTGTTCCGGAAGCTGCCACCCTCATCAATCCGGGAGACAACTGAAGCACAGCCACACCGATACTTTCTTCCTTCATCTGAACCTGTTTGGGGCTTGAACGACCCTTTCACAGGCGTCACCTGATTCATGATAGTAGCAAAGTCACAGCCACACCGATACTTTCTTCCTTCATCTGAACCTGTTTGGGGCTTGAACGACCCTTTCACAGGCGTCACCCGATTCCTGATAGTAGCAAAGTTACAGTGAAGTAGCAATGAAATTAATTTTACGGTTGGGGGGTCACCACAACATGAGGAACTGTATGACAGGGTCGCGGCATTGGAAGGCTGAGAACCCCTGCTCTACACAGAGTCACACAGGAGGTCTGAGGTATGACTCTGGTAAAATGACACGTGTTCTCTTTCTCAGTGAGTGTTTTCCATCGGAGCTGCACTGGGAATACCAGTGTGCCAGCCGCTTCCTGCAGCGGTTCTGTTCTAGCTCCTCATGCAGAAAGCGACTTCTCCCCTACCCACAGCCACAGTTGGATGCGGTAGGTTTCCATGCCTGCCCAGGCTGTGGGATTTGGGGCACGTTCTTTGTGCCGCAGCCTGTTCACCTGTGGCATGAGAACACCCATGAGATGATTTCGGGGGTCTATCCTCCTCGCCTCTCCTCTGGGGTGGGGATCCCCGATGAAACGGAAGCTGTGGGGGGCCCTCGGCCCTTTGCAGTCTGCCAGACTGCCACTGCCTCGGCCCGTAGTCCTCCTCCTCGTCCTTCGGTCTGGCCTCCTGGTACTGTCTGCAGATAGTCTTTCAAACGCAGTGCCTAGACTGTAACCTACTTTTGCCTTGGTCCTTTGTACCCTTCTAAGCAGGGACACATTTACAACCTCTTAACAATTTTGATACCACTTGAATCAATTCTATTCAAAACAAGAGAGCCAAGGGTGTATAAACTGCTGGCCAAGATGCACCACCACCCCGCCTGCCCGGGTTCCCCCAGCATGTGGTTACCACCAAGGGCAGAGTCTCCAAGAGCCTCGGAGCGAGGTCAGCAGCATGGTGCTTGAAATGGAAGTGCTTTTCCGTTCTCATCGCAATGCTAATTCTCATTCCCCACCCCTCTCCCTCACCTTCCCCATTGCTATTTCTCAGCTTAGCCATGACTTCTACAACTCAATGGATGAGCTCCTTGTGACCTCCCCTTGCCTTAACTGGCTTTCTTGGAACGATTGGCGAGGCTCTTCCATCTCCATCCTTTGAAATTCCCACCAGAGGATTGGGTGGACCTTGGAAATAGGGCGTGAGACTAGGGGATTGGCCAGTTGTCCCATGCCACTGGGCATAAAGCGAGCCATTTCAGAAGCAGGAGGAGAGAATCACAGTCAACAGAAGAGCCACGAGGCGTGCGATCCCTGCCCGGAGTGGCAGTGGCGGACTTCCCAGGCCACAGAATGAACAAAGCTGAGTGACTGTGGGCAGGAAGCTTGCTTGCCGTTAGGAGTGGCCTCTGAGCATTTACTAATGTTAAGGAGCTTTGCACCGCTGGCCTGGGCAGGCCCAGGCCTAAGGGCCAGGTGACCAAGAGGCTGAGGAGAGGAGAGGAGAGGCATGCCCGCTAACATGGAGGAGAAGTTTTGAACAAAAGAACTGTGTCCTTAACGTTTTGATTTTTTTCAACCGATTTGTAACTTGTTCACCCCCCCCCATCTTTATGAGTATAGTCTGAGACAAGCTGTAGTGGCCACGGCAATGGTTTCTCAGCCCAGCAGGGAAGCAGAGTGCCGAGGGAGGGAGGGAGGGAAGGCTGGTGTCAGAACAGGGCACAGAAGGTTGGAGGGCGTAGGCCTGTCTGACCTCTGTCTCCTAGGAATCACCTTGTGATGTGGGGTTGGGCTCTTCTCCCTTCTGTAGCTGGAGAAGGTCAGAGCCCCCCACCCCCGCCCATTTACTCAGTAACTAAAGGCAGACCACAGTTATTTGTTATTTAGTCTTTTCTAGGCAGGATAAGAATACGACACAGTTCAAATAATGTAGCTACTTGGCTTGCCATAAGGTAAATATTTGTTAAAGGTAGAAAATGACTATTAATGTTGAAAACAAATAAGCAAAACAATTTGGATGTTTTATTCACATTGCCTTTTTAATTTATAGTTGGTTGAAAACTGCGATTTGTCTACACTGATAATTCAACAGTTGTATTTTGGCTTATATGATAACCTGTAATAATTTATCTATTTGCATACAAACATAACATCCTGTCTACATGGGAAGCAAAAACAGTGCAATACTAAATAATCAATAAAAATATGAACTCATATACATTTCTGACATAGGAAACTTATAATTATCACATGGTGAGATGTGAAACGTGTAATAATACAGTCAACTTATAGGACAGTTATAATCCAATAATCAAAAGATAAAATCACAGGAACATTTTGCCCCTCTAAAGGTATTCGGTGGCAGTGAGTTTGGTTTCTGAGTTTTGGAAAGGCAGGTTAAAAACAACCCCAAAGCAACAAGCGTTTCAAATGAAAATCTTGTCACTTTGCTCATGTGAACGAAAAGAAGACACCACGATTATGATTAATCTGCTGGGTTCTGCAAGTGTCGCGCTCGTTGCTTGCGGTGCTGGGAGTATGTGTTTTGGATACAATTACAGTGAGATAAATTTTAGGAAGTCAACAATTTTTATTGAAAAGTGAAATCTGTAACACTGTCCCTAACACAGAATGATGAGCGCCTGTGACTGTGAAGTGGCTCTGTTCTCGGCGCGAGACCTAGCAGAGGAAGGGGATGAGTATCCAAATGTGTCAAGGCCAGGGACATTCCTGATCACAGCTCTTGAGTTGCGCCCTTTTGGCAGGCCCCGGGGTACACATTGGACCATGGGGTAAAGAGCTTTTGACCGAGTGGCAAGCCCTTCGAATCTCCAAGGGCTCGGAGAGAAGGTAATTGGAAGACTTCCTGAAAGCCCCGCTGCTGCCCAGAAATCCAGTCTCAGAGATGGGAAGACAGTGCTGGTCCCGCTGCACGTGGGCCCATGCAGGGCATGTTTCTCTGCCCATGCACTCCGCTAATGAACGATGAGCTCATCTAATCCAACAGACTGCCTGAGAAATTTGGCTATTTGCTGTTCATGGGGTTTTTGTTATTAAAGGTAAAGTATTTGAAAAATCCAACAAAGACTGGTTTCTGAATTGGGATTGTGTGTGTGGTTCTAGGTGTATAAAAAATATATTTTACATAAATGCATATTAGTTAATATGGTAGGCTAAATACTTGATTTTCATATGGAAAAGAAAAACAGCTCAAAGAAAAAAATGCATAAAGAACGCATTTCTCATTATTATGGGTAAGACAGCTCTGCAATGGTGAGGTAAGAACAGATCTAGGCAGTGCTTTTGCAGTGCACCTGTGTCACGGAGAGCCTTCCAGTGAGCCACCGCCACTCGGTTTCTGCCAGGTCTGTTGTTGGCAGTAAGAGTGTGACTGTGGAGGCGATGCAGATGCCCCTGCAGTGCGCTCTCTGCAACGGCCAGCTTTTTCCTCGTTAGTGGCTATCAACGAGGCACGCTTACATTAAGTGTATTCTATCAGCAGTCAATAATACTGTAGTTGTTAACGAAGGGTTGTAGGCTTATATGAAATGTCAGAATTAAACTGCCACTGAACAGCACATAGGCTAGCAAAGAAGAATTTGGATAGCTTATCACACTGTAATAGGTGAAACGCCTGTATTGTCATAAAGGGAACTTTCTGAAGTGCTAGAGGACATGACTCCCCCAGTCCTTTGGGTGCCCAGAGATCTGTGCACAGGAACTGAACGCTGCGTCTCTAGTGTTTACCACAAACCCAACGGAGCTGGTGATCGTTCTGAAGGTCAGTCAGTTCTTCGATGGTTCTCCAGCTGCACTGGCAAGCATATGCCCGGGCGCCTTTCTTCTGTACCAGCTTTGTTTTTAATTTCTGGAATTCGGGCATGTTGTTCCTAAGATGAGAACAGGAAGGCTTTAAGGTCATGGTGGTGGTCAGTGTTTCATGGTTAAAACCCAAACCAAATAGATGTGGCAGTTGCCTGGGTATCTTTACAGCATCTCAACACCACACCTCAGTTCCCCTCCCTCATCCTGATAACAGAAGAGATGCGTCCACGCTCTCTCTGGAGGGACTTCTTTGCTGTTCCGGATTTTTTTTTTTTTTGGAGGCCAATTCATTAAGGATTCTGTTGAACACAACCTCAGCACTGAGAATGACTGATCCGTCCTAGTGGAGATGATGTGAGATGGCAGCAGAGAGGGAAGGATGGTGGTTCGTCTCCCACCACTCTTGGGAGCACCTGGCACAATGAGAGTTTCCAAGCCCGAACTATGAAAAGTGCCTGCTACTTTTATGTGATGAACTCATGTTGCATCTTTCATTTTCTTTCGGGATCTGCTGATTCACTACCAGCAAGAAAAATAACTGCCCATGCTGAAATACATGTTAGTGATGCTGAATGCATGTTAGTGATGCTACATACATGTTAGTGATGCTATTTACATGTTAGTAATGCTGAAAGAAATAAACCAGGTGGCAGGACCCTCACAAAAAATGACGACTGTTCTGGGCTCAACTGTGTTCCTCCCCCAGATGGGTCAGGTTTCTCATCTTGTAACTGTAGTTGATTCTGTTTAGAATTAGTTTTTTTTGGGGGTGGCTAATGAATTCACTGATATAAGCAGAGTAGGGTAGGTCTTGAATCACATCTGAGTTATTAAAAACAACTCCAAAGCAGATTTGATGGGGGAGATGCCAATGAAAAGACACTGGGCAGCTGCAGCTATCAGCCCAGCCGCTCCGAGGGCTGCGGGCTCCTAGCAGCTGAAGCCCACAGGAAGCCATGTCCTTCTAGAGCCATGCCCGGGATTGGCCGGCCAGCCTCCTCTGAATGGCCGAAGCATCAAGTCTGTTCTTTAAGGTCACATACGGTGGGATTTGTTTAAGGTAGCACTAAGTAACTAAGAAAACAGCCACTTGATTTATTGCCATTATTTAAAAAAAAAAAAAGACCCGCTATTGAAGTCAATTTAACTGACTGAAAATAGGTTGATTTTCATGATAAACCATGTACAACATTTTATGCAAACATTTCATGGCTGAATAAACATGAAAAAGTGAAATGAAGAAACAGTACAAATCCTCAAGGGGAGACCAGCGTTTGCTATCCGGTACTCCATGTCTCTGTAGACCGGCTCTGAAGTGCCCTCTGGTGGTCACCGGGCACCACGTGCAGTACTACATTATCTGGATTGTCCATAATTCGGAAGCTGGGACCTAACAGAATCTGGAAGATTTTCCATGCCAATTGTTTGATTTCAGGAAACTGAGGCTCTGACCAGCTAAGTGACTTACCTGGCTGTAATTCTAAGGCTATGGTGAGTGGGAGGGAAGAAGTATAAACAAATCTAAATTTTATCAGGAGAAAAACACTAATCTGTAATATAATTTGACAAATTTAGCATCTGGTATCTAACTGAATCCTTCATTTGGAATGGGAGGAATGAGATCATGAAAAGCCAGAGAACTAATATGCTTCAAATGCGTTTAGAGAAGCACATATTTAAAAAGTGATCCCATTCCTTCCCACAGAGAAAACACACGAACTGTTTGAAAACAGAAACATCTGACTTACTGTGTCTGGGTGGTAAAAATCATGTATTCATTTCCTAGAAAGTTCTGGAACTTGTCTAAGCTCTAGCACACCAGAGGTCCTTTGTGTATGCTAGGACACCCTTACTTCCCTCATTGTATAAAGGACACCCACACCACAATGGCACAGCGTGCAACAAATGTGCGGCTCGGTGACACTCACGGGCTCCTCGTGTTCTGCGGGGCCTTCGGTGGCACCTGCAAACTGTCAAACGTGTTTTGGTTACCACTCGTTCTGGGTTTCTCCCAGGGACGCCTCCTCACTCTGCTCCCACGGTTCACTTCCTCTCCTCTCGTCCTATCAGCTGATCATGCGCTTGCTCACAACCCCAGGCCACCAGATGGCAAAGACCACGAACGTGCCAGCACTCAGTGTCTCACCTCCTTCACCCCAGGCAGAGGTGGCCTGCCCTCCTCTTTTCAAAGCTTGTTTTCCATCCGCACTCTGGGCTCCATCAGCTCAGGTGTTCCTGTGCCCGCCCCTTCCGAGTGGTCCATCTTTCCCATTCCTCCTCATCGTGGAAGCATCCACGTATCTCCCATCTTAACAACGTTCTCGGTGATGCATTCCTTCTCCCTGCGCTCCAGAGCCTCAGTTTCAACAGCCAGTTGGACAACAGCCTCCTCCCATATATGAACATAGACCGTGCTTCAAATCTGTTCTTTAATTCCCCCCCTGAAGGGTTCATCCCAACTCCCAGTGACCCTGTAGGACAGAGTAAAACTGCCCCTTGGGTATCTGAGACTTTAAATCTTGGCGGGAGTCGATAGCCTCGTCTTTGTGTGTGTGTGTGTGTGTGTGTACGTGGAGCAGCTCGTGGCTTCTAATTGCTGACCTTGTGGTTAGCAGCTCAGTGCAACACAAGGTCACCACGAGTCAGCACCGATTGACGGCAGTTCTGAGTCTATCGATGGGCAGTACCATTGTCCAGCTAGATCAACAAGGAGAGAGGCCAGGGACTCATCTTAGAGGATCTCTGGCTCTCAGCTCCCCCAGCCAAGCCTGCCTACATGTGTCTCTCAACTACAATTACTCTTCCTTTAGCACCATAATTCAGATCCTCATTGTGGTCCCCTGGATTAGCACATCTCATCAATCTCTATGATTCTAAATTGGCCAGGTTTCCACACAGGGACTCTCTGAGGACTTCAGATGGATTCACCTCTCTGAGTCTGTAAGAATATCTTCTGAAAAGAGTACACAGCTCCATCTTGTCTGTCAGGCCAATTCCTAGCGATACGCCAGGACTCTGAGAAGCCCTGCCTAATGCTTCAAGGTAGAGCGGCTCCATTTGATGGTTGCCATTCTTCTTTCTCGTAGCCCTACAACGCGATTGAACTTGGTACTGGGCAATTCCTGTCTCTCCCCCTCTCAGAGAGCAGCAGCCCCGTCTGACTCATCTTGTGAGCCCGGTCTCCAAGAGTACGGGGTAATGGCTGCTGGATACACAAGTGCGCGTCTGTGCCATACAACAAACACATCGAATCAGTGATTAATATTCTGATCACGGCGATGGCCTGCTTGTCTGGCCACTCCATTCTCTCCTCTTCCACACATTCTCTAAAGCGTCTTGAAGGCAGAGGGAGTATTTTCGACTATTTAAGTAACTATTTGTTTCCAATAATGTAATAACTCTTCTGGTTGTCCTGGTTTGACTACAAGCCAGTTTTGTTGTCTTTTTTAAGCCAGGCCGCCACAAACCTGGAGTAAACCAACTGACGTTCTTGGTGAGCACCAGGCACTGAGAGGTCCCCAGTCCCACGACTCCCCACCCACGAGCTGACTCGATGCCTGTGCTCCCTGCTGCCTTCCGGCGAGGCTTCCGTTGTCCTGTGCTGGCTTTAAAACAAGGGGCAGCTTAGCCTGTGGCACAGCCAAACAAAGCCTCACTGCCCGTGGAGTCATGTCCACTCACCGCCACCCTAAAGGACAGGGCAGACGTGTCCCCGGGGGTTTCGGAGGCTGCAGCTCTTTCCCAGAGTCGGAAGCCCCATCTTTCTGCCACAGCAGGGTTTCCAACAGCTGACCTGGTGGTGAGCAGCCTGATCACTCATTGTTTATTAGATTCACCAGAAGATAGTACACAGGAGAGACTGGGTAACAAGGCAAAAGAAACCCGGTATTAAGGCTCATTTTTCCGATTGCACGAGTGAAAAGTGGCTGACACCCGCGGGAAGCGTGGAGGTGTCCTGACCTGTATTTGGGGACTGCACTAGGCTTGGCTCAGGATGTGGACTGTGGAACCTTTACGGCAGCCATTTTCTTATGTATGTGTACACTTAACATTTTACTCGTGGAAAGGGCTCAAGGTTTCATATGATTTTCAGAGGGGTTTCTGATAGGAAGCACTCTGTTGCTGTTTGTAGCCTGCGATTCAGCATCTCCCTGGAGGCCCCATGGGATCCAGGGGGTTGCAGTGCCTGAGTTTCAGAAGGAATGGTTATGCCTGTCTTAGTGTGGAATCTCTGAGTTCAGAAACATCACCTCATCTGTCTAGTCTGGAAACTCTGCTGAAAATTCCTTAGCATCAACAGCAACACAGAAGCCTCCACCAGTCGACATGGATAGGGGCTATGCTTGAGGGGCCCAGACTGGGAGTGCGGAATTCTAAACCCGCACCACGGCTGCTCCGGGAAGAAGCTTAAAGCCAGAGATACTAAAAGGGGTTCCCACTCTTGAAAAGTGCCCCACTATATTCTGCATACTTGACTCTGAAAACAGTCTTTGTTGAAAGCCAGGTTTGGGATACTAAAAAGCACTATCTACATTTTTTTATAAGATCTATTACGTCGCAACACAATTTTTGTCTGAAAATGCATAGTTCAAATACATTTTGTAATTGAAAACACACCTTACAAGTTAAGCATTCAGTAAGTGTGTAAGAATGGACACATTACAAAAATATACGTATGACACCACTATTGACCATAACAAGAAAGGCAGACCAAGCTGAGGTCTTCCGGTTTCTATTGTAGTACGTGCTGTGGCAGGTACACGGTGCCGAGACGCACAGGAAAGGAAGAGCACGATGAAGGGAATGGTGGGAAATACGTGATGAGTTGTATTGAGAGGTGGTGTTCACGGGAGAGAATGGTGGAAAGTGTCCCGGAGGGAAAGAGCCTGTGTGCTTCAAAGGTCACAGGGAAGGGGCGCATAGATTGATTTGGGGCTGTTGCAATCTTGTGTGGATGAAAAGCATGCTGAGGACAGACCAGGCTGGATGACAGACAAAAGGCTGACGGGGAGGATGGTGAATGACCGGTTAAGAACTTGGGCACTATGCCAGGTGCAGAAGAGCGTTGGGCAGGTGAACGCACACTCGGAGCTATGCACCGAGAAAGCCCTGAGTCGATGGAAAGATGATCAGAAAGAGAGGCTGTTGATAGAAAAATCAGTGAGGAGGCGGTTGCTATCCTCTTAGCCAGAACAGCAAAGCCCTTCTCTAGGCTGAGAGCAGACAGACGTAAAGGAGACTAGTGTAGAGGTGGAGTTCACACAATCTGCCTGAGTCCACCAGGACACATTTTAACAGAGTAAGAAATATAAAGCTGTACTCGGCACAACTTTCAGAGTGACATTCTTTAGAAACATACCTGAAAAACAAATAATCACATGATGTGTCCCACATATAGTCATTGTAGCTTACTATCCTGAAATCGCAGGCAATACAGCGCAGGCGGTCACAGGCTCTGTTTAAAGAAAAAAAATGGAACATAAAAAAGATTGTGTGCTTAAATATGGTAATTTTTCCATACTATGTAATTCTTATGAATATCACGTATTAGAGATTACTGCATAAACAACAGAAACATAAAGATTAACTTGATTTTAAAGTAGATTAACCAGAGTTGATACAGATACATCTAATCATTTAGACATTAAAAGAAAATATAGGATTATATTTATTTTTTCATGTTTTCTTTAGTTTTCCCCCTAACAGTTTTACTGGCACATAATTTACATATCATACAACTTAATAGTTAGTCATATCAAGAAGTGTACAATGATTGCCACATCAGTTTTAGAGCATTGTCCCTGTCCCCCATGGTGAACTCGCCTTTAAAATGAGTTGTGCAATCACAATCTGTTCCAGTGCTCCTGCCCGACCCCCGCCTTATTATTTATTCCCCAAACTCCCTTTCCCCCCATATCAGCCCCTTATGTTCCCTATCTCCCCTGTATCAGTTGTTACCATTATGCCTCCATTCCTCCTGTGCTCCACAGCTAAGGCACCCAACGGAAAACAACAACACTGCACTAAGGTGGTAAGGGTAAAATCATAATAGTATAAAGATAAATAGCAAGAACCAAAAAAACAAGGGTTTTTAACATACCAAAGGGGAAAAAAAAACAAGTGATAATACGAAGAAGACATTTTCAAAGCACAGCTGAATATTTATACTAAAGGGCTAATTACATGTTTAAAATTTCAGATTAAGCTTTTTGCATGACCTTTACTGGGAACTTGCATACATATATATATGAATACATGTATGTTGCACTAATATAAACTAAGCAAAATGGATTGTGGTAGTTACATAATCTGGTCTACTAGAGACTATTAAGAGTGAAAGGGTGGAGTTTATAGCCTACCAATCAGGTTGCAGCTTGATAACCTGATAACCTCATTTCCAGGTGCTAAGGAGATAAATACTTTGCTGGAGGCGGGGCACATGCTCACTCCCTGCAAGACATTCCTGTTGACAAGCCACAGGGCGCTATGGTGATAGAGATAGAGCCCTGGAGCTGGAGGAGGCACGTGGAGACCCACCCCAGTGCTGAGATGCTTCTACCACCACTGGGTCATTGCATGTGTTGTGTGAGTCTGAAGAGGGGTTTATAGACTCGTGTAAAACATACGGGCTAATAGCAAACTTAGGGACTTGATCTGGACTGGGCTGGGATGTTTTCTTAGTATACAATTGTTTCTCTAGTCTACCCAGACTAACACACGGACTTTCCGTGTATCTTTTAGCTCAAAAGTTTTCAAATTGAGCATGAAGGGGTTCTTCAGGTAACTTTTTTTTTTTAACTTTTAATTGTGAATCAGCTGGGGGTTTACATTTTAGAGCACCAATCTTTCTTTACTATTAACTTTATTGTGTTGCTAGTACTACTTAGAGGAGTTTACAGATTTTAAGGGATGCTGCTATCGCACAGCTTGCCACATTATACTGAAATAGATGTTCCTTTACACCCTACTTTGTGTTGGGACATCTTACCTGCTTTTGCTTCCCCACTACTTGGCCAAGTACACTCATTTACTCATTTGAAAATATGAGGCTGAACATAGTTCTGGGAATTTGGGATATATTAGTAAACAAGATTGATAAAAAAGAGTCTGTCCTCATGGTGTTTAGCGTCTACCGAGAAGAGATAAGCAATATTCACAATAACTAAATCACATAGTGGTTTGAAGGTGAAAAGCACTTTGAGTGAAATAAAAAGTCAAGAAAATTGGGAGTACTGGGAGCAGGGCGTAGTACTGTTCTGTGAGTGTAGGTGATTGTAACTCTTTACCAGAGTAGAAAGCCCCTTTCCTCCCGCGGAGCAGCTAGGGTTTCAACCTGGCAACCTAGCAAATCACAGCCCCATGTGTAGCTGGGAGTAGTGGTTACCTACTCCCAGTACTAGACCCATACCCTTTGTCTATGGCTCTAAGTCACCCTGCAGGTCTGGTACTAAACTCACCAGGGGTTAGACTAATTCACCATTTAAGATCAAAAGGCTAAGAATTACCCGAGGACAAAGTACTGAGTTAGGAAAGGAAGCGGAATGGAAGCAGGAAACACTGGGAGGAAGTGGGAAACGTGATGGTCACTGACGAGATTGGAAGGGATAAGTCGAAGCAAAATGTGTCAGAATTGTGGAATGTAAAACTATGACCTCCTCTGTAACCTTCACCTAATTTTCAAAAAACCAGACGGGGCACTGTTATTCTGTCACATGGGGTTGCTGAGAAGTCAGAATCCATCTGGTAGACCATCACACAAATAGCCGTTTAGTTTAACTAGTAAAATATGTCCGCTTGAACGCTGTGCACTATAGTCACACACTGAGGATCAAGTTGACGCCAAAACTTGAAAGGTCAGGTAGGAACCTTATGGGGCAATGAGTTTATGTTAACGCGAGAGAACAAGGTCGAAAGGGAGGGTGCGAAGGGTAGCATGCTTGAAGAAGGTAGTCAATATCACATGTAGAAATTGCCGAATGGGTATATGTGTGGCTGTGCACCCTTTCAACAACACAGTAACTCTAGGAGTGAAAAGATAATTTATATGCAAGCTGAAAAAGGATTGTTCATTGTTGCTGTCAGCAATTTGGTTTGTAAAATAATATAAAGAGTGCTTACAAATGACAAAGGAAAACAAGCCTGTATAAAACTGGGGAAGGAGTCCACAAAAACAAGAAATTTATACAAGGATAAGTCACATAATACATATAAAAATATGCCCAGCTTCACTTGCAAGGGCGTAGGTGAGGGCCTGGGCTCTGGAGACAGACTGCCTGGGTTCAAATGCTGAGTCTACTAGATGCGTGCCATAGTCAAGTCTCTTCCCTTCCCAGGGATTTCGTTTCCCGAGCTGTTAAGAGGGGCTATAGCATACTAGAACCTATACAACTCACTCAATTTATTATGAGAACCTCATGAATTGATGTTGGTAAAGTATTCACTATATAGATGTATACCTTTAACATATATATATTCTAGCCAATAAAGTTAGCAAAACAGTAGCAGTATAATACTTTTTGGGTGGTTATGAAAATTGTTATAGCATTCTGTGAAAACTCTGGGCTTTGTTTTATAATTATATCTAGCTGTGACACTAGCAACCAGGAACAACTATATAAGAGTAAAGGCACTGAGAGAGAAGCATATATTCCAGGATTGTTTACTGCAGTATTGTTGACCGGGCATAAACAGTGGATACCACCTGATACCTATCAAAAAGGGGGGGAAATGAATAGCATGCAGCACATAGGGGGCCTTCCAAAAGTTTATGGAAAGTTTCCACTATTTAAGTTTTTTTCCCCCACAAACATTTAGAAGTCCCCTCTTTCCTTAAAGTGCTCTTTTTGAATTATAGAATGGAATATTAGGCAGTTAATAAAGAGAATGAATTAGATTTAACCAGTGACCAGGTATCAATTAATCTACAAAGCGAGATGCTACTTTTATAGAGACAGCCCTCTCAATTCCTGTGTGGGTGCATGTAGGTTTGTAAGAACACTGAAGACCATTTCAGAATGTGGATGGGTCCACACTCCATAGCTGGTTGCCTCAGGAGCAAGACGACTGGAAGGGAGGGAGCTCTAGAGATGATTATTTTTCTCACTATATGTATTTTTGGATTCTGGTTTTACCTTTAAAAATTTTAATACACATAAAATTAAAACATAATGAAAGAATAAAACTAATTTAAAAATTTTTCATTACTTTCCTCTAAAATTCAGGTATGCTAACTTCCAAATGGCAACTACTTTTTTTGGCACTGAAAGTTTGCATGAGAATAAATGCTTTTTACTTCTAAAATGCCATTATTAATCATTGCAGTAACCAAACATTTATAAAATATATACATAGCATACACAAGTCCACATCCCCTCCCTTCCCCCAAATTGCTAGCAATTTATGAAGTTGGATTTGCTCATGTGGAAACTCGGCGCAATCACATTTATACACACTGAAATTGAGATTTTGAACGTACAAGTCAGGAAATGCGGAATGATGGTTCCCAAAGCTGCCATAATGTGCTTTTTTATGCATATGTAGTTTATTACATGATTGCACCAAGTGTTAACTTTAATGCCTTAATACATATGTGCAATTTCACTGAATTATTGCTTTTGTGGGAACTATAATTTTGAGTTTCCTGACATTTTTTATGTGTAAAATCTCAACCATAATGTTAAATAGCTTTTTAATTTAATGTAAAATTTAGTAGTTTATTCAGATCTATTCACACCACCACATTTTCCTACAAACACCATCCTTTGAGAAAAGTAAAACTAACTTGCAGCTAAGAAATCATTCTGCTATTACAATTCACTCTATTAGATCATAATTAGTACCAGTCTATGGAGTAATCCAGTCTTGCAAGTAGTTTAAAAATAATTAGCAGAGTAAAATTTGATTTGCCTTAAAAATACCCCATTGGTCTATCATGTGCCATTTACTAATGCCGCCACACTGCCAGCAACTGCCCTTGGTCCTTTCCACCAGCCCGGGACAAGACTCTAAAATCATTCCGTATGACCCGACCACCAGAGCTTTATCCCAAAGTGAAACAACAACAAAAAATAAACAGAAAACAGGCAGAATATACTCACTTTCCTTTATGTCCTGGGCCTGCAAACCAGTGCTTATTTTCAAGGTTTAATATATTTCTCTTCCATAACTACATATATAAAAGCCTATCTAATATAAAAATCACCGCAGGAGCAGTGAATTATTTAATGTGGCTCTTCTAGTAAAGTCCCTAACTCCCATCAAATCACCTTTCCCTGCATGGGTCTGGTAATAAGGTGGGGGAAGATGATGATAGGATTCACCTGTGAGTAACTGCGAACAAGCTTCCCTGGAGTGCCATCCTGCTGGGTATAAAATGAACCCTCTGAGAAACAGGAGGAAGGATCTCATGACCAGCCACAGCCAGGAGTGGAGGGTGTCCGCTGGACCTCAGATTCCTGAGCAGTGACCCTCCAGATGACAGCTATACAACCAGAACAGGAGAACCAGGAACCAGACCATGGACCCGAGTAAAGAACTTCCCAAACCATGAAGCAAAGTTGACACACAAGTCCTTTTGTGTAGGAAGCTCTGGCTTTTGAAGTGGGGATTTCTGGGGACCTAATTGGTGAGGATATAGACTTGCTGACTCAGAAGTGGAGCTAAGCACCTTTGGGCTCAGGCTTCCTGGAGTAGGGTGCCCTCTGGGCACTTGATTCAGGCAACTGGGCTTGCAGACTCATGGCAGTGGAGCCGAGTGTCTCTGGGCTGAGGGCTTGCTGACCCACAGAGCTTGTGCTGAATGAGCTGACTGCCTTTGGGGTCTGGTGTCCAGCAGAGTGGTGCTCCTTTGGGCATGTTCTGGCAGACTGGAAACTGAAACCTGTCCTGGTAAACAACCACTCTGAGTATTCCTCACTGGCATCACAGCTTGTTACCTTCCTTGGTGAACACTTCAATCATGACTTTTGTCTTTGAGTTCCGTGTAATGATTTCAATGAGTATTAGCACCTAGATAGAAATTACAGAACACCAAGTCAGCACCGTCACGATGCCAATGAGAGAGACACGGAGACAATTTCCTCTATACAGTGTAGAGGAAATACAAATGTGAAGGTGTCTCCAACACCACAGCTGTGTTCTTGTCCAGCTGATACAGTCTTTATAATTTTAAAGATGCTTTGAGCAGCCAGCACTGTCCCCGATACTGTGGTTTTGTTAAACCCTACCAGATCCGCTTAGTGCACTGGACAGGGGAGTCTTGCTATTTGGGCAGAGTTTGAAAATAGCAGGCGCTGGTATAGCAAAAGCAGTAAGGCGCTTCCCTCTTTCATGTATCACTTGACCTTCTAGAAAATGGTAAATTAGAGACTATAATGAACTAGGAACCAAGTCATACGTTGGAGCTCTTGCTTTGCAATAATGTGTAATTATCAAAGTATACTATTTAATTAAATTATAACAACTGGTGACATTGGGCCTGCCACAGTGATCGCTGAATTCTATTCATTATCTATTCTTCTTCTTCTTCTTCTTTTTTTATCTATTCTTCTTAGATCTAAACTCTGACACCTTTCCCTCACAGCCACTGCCAACACCCAGCCCAGGTGGGTTACTGCCATCATCTTACTGCCTGCTGGCCGGGCGAGTTCAGAGTTAACTCCAGACAAATGGCCACTCCGTGCCCTTCTGAACAGGGGGCGGCGTTCACAATCACCTCACGGGTGAGCTAGAGAGGGAGCGAACAGGGCCATGGGTGGTAACTGGGAAAGTGCTGCTGTGACTCAGTGGTGACGGGCTGAGCCTTGGACTAGAGGAGGACTCGTTGTAGAAATGAACGGGGGGAGTGCAGCTACGCTGACTGAATGGACTCGAGTGAGTGCCACAAGAGTATCTTCTTTTCTCTGGGCCTGCCGCTCTCAACCTGTGACCCTTTCACAGGGATCACCCGATTCCTAACAGTCCCAAAATTAGAATGATGAAGTAGCAATGAAAATAATTTTATGCTTGTGTGTGTGTGTGTGTGTGTGGGGGGGGTGTCACCACAACATGAGGAACTGTATTAAAGGGTCAAGGCATTAGGAAGGTTGAGAACCACTGCTCTAGGCAGTTTGTGGGTCTAAGACTGTGCCCAGACAGTCTAACACGTGATGATCCCACTGCTGCCAATTCTTATTTCCAGCACTCACAGCAGGCAGCACCCTGTGGATTTAGACCGCCTTTTGTTGCCTGGCAATCCTGGTATAAGACTTCTGTAGCCTCAGTTTCACCGAGGTCTTAGAGCCCTTCTTTCCAGGCTTCTAGACACTACTATAACCTTCAATGTCATCTCTGCTAGACCCCTTGTCTGTCAAACAGAAGTTTTCCTTCCGGTCTCTTCGGTAGGGATTCTTGTATTTCAGTAGTTTTCTCCATGGAAACATAAGCGGCAAAGAACCTGGTGCTTTAGAAACAACCAGCCAAAAAGATAACAGACGAGTGGGCCTCTGCCAAAAGTGGAACCAAAAATGACGAGAGTAGAGACATTACTTGCTTAAAACCAACTTTCCTCCCCATATTACGAGATGGGGTGTGCTGGGAGTTAGGGTGCTAATCTAATCTAGGCTTGGGGTAGGTGGCATCACAACCTTAAGAAGGTCCTGACAGAGCTCTTGAGTGGGAACATGGGTGGAGGAAGCAGGGTAGAGACAAAAAAAGAAGGGTTTCTAGTTTTGAAATATGTAACTGGGTAAAAACCACACGTCCATGATTGAGAAGATTTTTGGGCCACACACCTGTAGCTTCCCATGCTGACTGGCCATCAGTGTGGGCAATGAATCTTACAGCTAAATTGCTAACTCTTAAGAATAATAAACATTTCAATACAGTCTTCTTAGGTTGGATAATAAAATATGGCTCTCATAAAAACAGATTTATGCCAGGGCGATAAGAGCAACGTTTTAACAACGAGGCATCACTGGGGGTGATCTAATAAGTAGAACATATTTCTGATATCCTACCTCTGTGAGATATTTGTCCCAATACCACATGGCGCAGTACTTCCACCAAGGTATACTGGGCTGCAGCTAGATGTGTTCAACAGATGGGAGAAAAGTGAAATTACAACAAAAAAGAAATATGAGAAGTTCATTTAGCCTCAGTGACTCTATGTCCTTGTAATCAAATTGTATATTTTCCCTAGTGAGCCAAGTGTTTCAAAGAAGAGCCATTTATCCCCCGAACACTGCTTTATTAGCTCTTAACATGTGCGTTCAGGAACACTCAAGGAGTTAAAATGAGTCACAGAAAAACGTGTTTGCCAAATAAGGTAAGGGCAAAGTAAATGCTGAAGAATCTAACAGAACATTAATTTTGAGAAACTGTTCACCTTTTTTTCTTCCCATATAGCAGAGAATTATTTACAATAGCAATAATCTCCCATCCAGGTTCTTTTTACACGATGGGGCACAGACCAGAAGCATACGGAAGATACTGCTAGTGCCCTTTTGCAGGGAAGCCAACTGGGTCTTTGTTGGTCTGTCACTGTTGTTTCGATGGTAACAAAATCTACTAGGCCAAGCTCCTACTACTGTGTCTGCTGACTCGCGTGTATAATTCACCACGGCAATCTTACTTACCTCTTACCAAGGCCTTGAATGGAACCTTTGACAGGCATGCCAACCGAAGATTTAGATTTTAATTTCTGTTAAATAAACAAAACAAGAAAAGACCAAATATAACTTTAGAGAATTGTAACACAAACACGAATATTCCTTATTTTATCTTAAGAATAAAAAAAAGGCCCCCAAACTGGTTTATAGAAAAATCTTGGTGGCATCATTAAGTTCCTGCAATAAAACAATGATCAAAACCTGTTTTAAAGGCAAAAAGGAAGTGAAATTCCCTGAGGAATTTGCAATTTACTCTGCTAAATTTTCGTCTACGAAACTGATATACTGCCATTATTAGCAGGCTAAGATTTAGAGTCCTCTTATAACTCTTCAGTTAATACTAGAGTTCAATGATTTAATATGAAGGACCTGCTATTTAAAACTTCATCCTGGAAAAATTCCATTGAGGAGGGGGAAAGAAAAATCAGACTCATTTTTAAAGGCTGTGAATGGTACTCATCGGAACTAAAAATAAATGAACCAAATGCCTGGGTAACTTCAAGAATATTGACTGTGAGCAAATGGATGGGTACCAGCCAGTAGGCGTCCAAAGAAAATGCAGACCTCCTGAGTCACAACCGTACAGTAGTTCCTATACGGGTGCAGAACAGCAGCAGCAAGCATTGATTAAGTGCTAACTGGTCTATGGTACCAAACAATACAAACCAACCACAGACTAGGACCACTGCCAAGAAGAGGAAGTGCAACGGAGGAAAGGCAACTTAAACTATGCAGGAACATGCCTTCCTTTCATCCAGTGGGCTAGAAAACTTAATGGTGGCAAAAACACTTCATTTTACAATTTCTCTTCACTCTTTTACTTATGTGGAGCAGGACTGGAAAGCTTTCTGGTGCATGTATTTTCTCGTGCGCATCCATCTCTTTTTTGTTTGGGGGAAGAAGTTTCATGAACTGTGTCCTTCTTAAATCTATGCTTATGTGGAGGACTCCAAGCTGGCACACTGACCTCTGCTGTCGGTCCCTGGGCTTCCTTGTGTTGGTCGAAGAACAAGGGCCTGGGGGGGCAGTCTGCCCTCTGAGGAATTAGCTCAACGGCAAGCAACTAACAGCAAAAAGCACAATCTGGACGTGAGCCAGCCAATCGCAGAGATCTTTTCCCCTGCTCATTCAGTACCCAAAAGCAATGGGCTGTCAATATCTAAGAGGCTGTTACATTATTTTCTGGATTTTTAATAAAGTTGATATACATAAAGATTTTAAAAATTAAAATATTGATGTAATCATGATACCAAGCACATAGCAATGATAAAAACTGTTTTCAATCTTTTAGAACATACTTTTAGATAAAGCCAGCAACTTGATCTGTTAGCTGACTTTTGCTCTAGTACTTTTCCTAATTTTTCATTCCTGCTTAGAAATGAGCAGCAAAATGCACAGCTAGAGTTTCTAATATTTTATTTTATTTTTTACAATTCTAAGTAGAATTGTTTCTTAGAAGAACTGCTCAGAATTCAGAAGGCTATAGATAGACTTGTGGCTTCTTTATGTTTTCAGACTATGCTAAACCACACATCTTGATATAATGCAAGAATTACTGCATATTTATATCGCTTGACTTACAAAAGATTTTTTGTCAAAGTTAGGCTCTTCAAAGATTTCATTAATAAGACTGTCAAGATCATCTGCTTTTTTAAATGTGTCTGTCAATCTGAAAAAGAAAAAACACCTGCAGCTTAACAGCAGCTAAAGCAACCGATACCAGAAAAGTTGTTTAAATAAACCCCTTGTTAGAGTAATGACAGAAAGATAGCTACGATTGCAACTGAACTCCCTCACCACCCCACCCCGCCCCTCACTATGGACAATAGTCTAAGATTATTGAGACAAAAATAGTGTATGAGGTACAAATTTACATGCTTTATTACGACATACTAAAAAATAAAGCATTTAAAACTAAACTTTATATGCAAGAGAAAGTTGAGTAGGTATTTTTCTAAATTTACCAACTACTTATTCCGAGAAAGCAAAATATGTACCATTGTGAGTAGAACTATGATAAATGCATAATTTTAACCAGTCTAATTTTTTCTTAAGGGTTCCATTGTAAGTCAAGTAACCACATCTCTTAGGAGTCAAAGGTTATGTAATCACACGACCATACCAAAAGAAACAGAAAGGAAATAGGTTATTTGCAGAATACCACAAATACTTCTTTATCGTTTGCAGGAAAAGCTAGCTAGCAAAAGAACAGTGACGTAAACTGCTACTGTACCGCAGAACTTCTATGTAATAAAAACCAAACTGACTGCCGCAGAGGCGGTTCTAACTCCCAGCACCTTCCAGAGCAGAGAACTGCTGCTCCTGGGGTTTCAGAGCGGGTCAACCTTTGCAGAAGGCCTCTCAGAGGGAGGCCCTAGATTTGAACCTTAGCAGCCCAACAATGAACTCACTCCAGCCCAGGGCGCCTTCTGTTAGTTCGCTTTCATTGAGTACTATCTGGAGCCCTGAGGGGCCCTGGTGGCATAAAGGTTCCACATGGGGCTGGGAACTGCAAGGTCAGCAGTTCAGAACCACAAGGTGTTCTGCAGGTTTCTCAGAAACCTACAGGGGGTGGTTTCCTACCCTGTCCTAGTCACTGTGAGCTGGAACCCTCTTGGTGACAGTGAGGTTTTGAATTCTAAACAGATTGGCTCTAGCATCCACTGAAGGCCTAGATAAAAGGGTTTCTCAAACTCAGAACCGCTGACCCCATGGGCTGGATAATTCTTTGATTGGAAATGAGGTAGGGGCTGTACTGTGCAGAAGGTGTTTTGCAACAATTCTTCTAATCACTGGATAGGGAGCCCTGGTGGTGTAATGGTTAAATGCGTGACAGTTTGAACCCACCAGATGTTTCTCCTGAGAAGAGATCTGGTGATCTTCTCCCATAAGGAGTACAGCCTGGGAAACACCAGGGGGCAGTTCTATTCTTTTTCAAGGGGACCCCTAGGGGTCAACTTGGCAGCTAGCAACAACAAAAACAACCCACTTACTGGTGCGTATGAGTTAGAAACACAACTCACTTTTATATATGTTCTTGTTAATGAGGTGTAAACCCACTTTACATGAGTTAGAATAAAGAGAGCAAGCATTTCATTGGAATTTATTCAAAATTTAAAGGATAGTGTCATGCTCCTTTGTTGTTGGTCTTTTGATATTATAATAAATAATATTAATCAAATGTTTACAAGCTGACATTGGTTCCTTCTTTAACTCTTCTTAAATTTTAATCTTGATTCAAAATAAAAGTTTCTGCTGAAAGTAAAAGGTATATAATAAAACAAACAGTTAAACTTACAATTAAATGCGAGAAGCATATATAAATAAGATGGATCTTGGATGAAAACAGAAAGTACCAGGAATATGTTTACCTGTTTTATTGATTATGCAATGGTGTTTGACTCTGTGGAGCATAACTATGGATAACACTACAAAGAGTGGACATTAGAGCAGCTAAATGTTTGTAGACCCAGAGGCATTAGTTTGAGCAGGACAAGGGGATCCTGCTTGGTTTAAAATCAGGTAAAGTGTGTACAGGCTTGTATCTTTTTGCCATGAGAGGGTTTCAAAAAGTTAGTGGGAAAAAATGGAATGAAAAGGTAATGGAATATTTCACAAACCTTTGGAATCCCCTTATACTTATTCAATCAATAAGCTGAGCAAATAATCTGAGAAGCTGGACTACGTGAAGTAGAAAGTGGCATCAGGGCTGTAGGAAAATCCATCAACGACCTGCTCTGTGCCGAGGACACAACCTTGCCTGCTGAAAGCCAAGACTGTTTAAAGCACTTACTGATGAACATCAAGGGCTACAGCTTTCTTTATGGATTGCACCTGCACAGAAGAGAACAAAATTCCCCACAATTGGACTAATAAGTCACATGACAAATAGAGGAAGTATTGATCCTGTCAAGGATTTCATTTGACTCGGATGCATAATTAATGTCCTTGGAGGCAACAGCCACGAAATCAAATGATGTACTGCAGTAGGCAAATCTGCGACAATAGCCAACTTTAAAGTGTTTAAACAAAAACAAAGATAGCACTTTAAGGTGCAGCTGACTCAAGTCATGGTATTTTCAGTTGCTTTACCTGCATGCAGGCTGGACAGTGCATATGGAAGACGTTAAAAGAATGTATTTTAATTAGGGTGTTTATGAAGAATACTGAATAGCCACGTATTGCCAGGGAAAGGAACAGACCTGTCTTGTAAGTCCCACCAGAATGCCCCTGCAATGGGTGTGGGTGAGACTTCGTGTCGTATACTTTGGGTACGTTATCAGGAGGAACCAGTATCTGGAAAAGGACATCATGCTTGCTAAAACGGAGGGCCGATGATGAAGAGGAAGACTCTCAAGAAGATGAGCAGTCACTATGCTTCAGAAGAGATGCTCTGGCACCTCGTTAACAAGAACAACATATAGAAAAGCTTTGGAAGACGGAGAGCTGGCTTTACATTCAATTTTACCATATCCTGGTAGATTTAGCCATGTAACTTTGGGCAAGTAATTATATTTTTCTTGGTCAGAGAAATGGGATAACAACCGCGGGCATCTCTTAGATTGTGGTGGTTAAATTAGTGCATATCAAGTACTTAGAAAGGACTCAATAATGTTGGTTATTAGTTAGATATTATCTAGGAGGTTATATTATCTTTAAATATTCCCATCTGTTTCATTCTGAACCACTCTCTCCGATTGCAGTACCACTCAACCCACATCAGTCTTTTTTCTTTAACCAATCACATATTTCTCTTTATCATTTTGAAGACTTCAACAAATTTCATGTGTTTTGCCCTGTTACATTAGTAGTTGTTTCTGATATCCAGATGTAGCAATGGTCATGGTCATTTATTTTATTGTTTGCAGAACCATCATTTTAAGAGGCAATTCCAGTATTTTAACTCTTACAAGGGAAAGACAAGAGACTGTATTGCTATACAATTGCCTTAAATTGGTCCCTGGCTTTTAAATATCAATTTTGGCTCATGGAAAAATTTTAATGTCTGACATTAAATGCCAGGTATGGACCAGATTTGGTTTAGGGCTTTTGTTGCTCTTTTTTACATAATTTATCATTACTACTACACTGCCAGATGAAAAACAGATGATAACTTTTAACATATAAATGACAACAGTACTGGTTGGCTGCAGTTTTTATAAATACAATACTGAAAAATAGGACATTTTGAGTAGTGAGATGGTGTTATGGATTGAATGGTGTCCTCTCCATCTACCCGTCCCCACCCCCATATGTGGATGGGATCCTTTTTTGGAAATAAGTCTTTTCTCTTGTTAACGAGTCCATTACCAGAGTAGTGTGAATCCTAAATCTAATCACTTCTGAGCTACAAATAAAAAGCAGAACAGACACAGATACACAGAGGGAGGAGGGAGACATGTCATGTGGGGAACTCTGGAAAAGCATTGTCAGATACCAGAAACTAGGAGAGAAGCTCACAGAAATGGAGATGGCAGAGGCCCTGGTTTGAACCGTTTGCCTCAAATTGTGAGGAAATAAATTTCTGTTCTTTAAAGCTACCCACTTGTGGCATTTCCCTTATGGCATTAAGGAAAAAAATTTAAAAAAAACCTGGATCCTATGCAGTCAGTTCTCACTCATAGCATCCTTATACGACAGGGTAGAACTGCTCCTGCGTTTCTAGCAGTGTAACCCCTTATGGGAGTAGTAAGCTTCCTGTCTTTCACAGAGTGGCTGGTGGTTTCGAATTGCTGGCCTTGCTGTTATCAGCCCAATGCATAACCACTTCGCTTTTAATTGGGTCTATATTTATTATTTTTTAAGTGCTGGCTAGCACCCAACTGATTTTTAGAACTTCCTTTCTGAACTCTATTTTTTGAGGATGAATTTTTATAAACAGACAAAGGTCATTGGAATTTAAGTCTGGTGAGTAGGGTAGCAATGAAGTTAGTTAACACTTTGGGAAACCACACACCCATACCCATACATATAGAAGAATGACTCCTGGGTTGTTCCTAAACTGGGTCCGTGTAATTCCAAGTGTTTGCAAACTGTTCTAAACCACGAGGCAAACTCCAGAAGAAGTCAGCT